CAAAAGCAAAATAGTGTAACTATTTGACCTAATAAGAGTGGTAAGGTTTATTACTGTCTTCATAACAATGGCAGAACTATATTGAAGATTCAAGTTTAGGTCTAAGACTGGAAAAAAAAGGGGAGAAATATCCCCTAAGGAAAATTATTCAACAAAATAGAGCTGTTAACAATTATGTGAGGGTGGTTTTGGATGCAGGGCAGAATTTACTACCCTGGGACTTTCACTCCATCCTGCTTGAACTTAGTACATTGTTGCATCTCAGCGGACGAGGGAGATCCAGGCTGGGCAAGGCCACGGTCAGCGCACTCACAGAGCCAGTGGCTCAATAAAGACAAATGTGATCATTTCAGCATTTTAACTCATGATGTGTATTTTAATATCTCAGGCAAGCCTGAGAAATAACATATTTGGACCTCTATCAATAAAATTTTTAAGTTATTCTGAGTTATTTATTCTAATACAGTGAAAAAATCAAAAAAGAATCTTACCCATGCAATAAATAAAATCAACCTCATCATAAACCTACTTAGGCAAAAATTCATCAACTGAGAAATTGGTATGAATCAAAGTTTCCATTTCAAAATACAACTGATTCATATTAAAAGTCCCTCTTTAAAAAGGTCAACTTCATGCTGAAGAAATAATTGACATAGAAGTTTTCATTTAGTGCCTTGAGTATGTTTTCAAGGTGGCTCACTGTCTGTAAAGTGTCAGCAGCCACTTGTACTTGAAGAGAACTCCTGCACTGTCTTCACATGCTCTCTTACATCGTGAATGTCAGCGTCGAATGAACAGGGGCTTCCTTTCCCCATCTCTGTTTTTCATTAAAAAGCTGTAAAAAGCACTTCCAAGGCAAGACCGGTCTTAAACTAAGATTCCTATCTTAGAATCTTAATTGAGATGATTGCTTGGTTCTTGTTCACTTTTCTAAATGCAAACTTGATGCCTGTTTTCTCCCAGCTTATTTCAAAATAAGAGTCTCTCTGATGCTGCATAAAAGGAAGCATTTGCCAGAAGAGTTTTCGTAATTGCTCTGAAACGTGATGTTTTGAGGATGAATAGACTATCAACCATTTAGTACTTGTTTGGCACTCAGGCCTAAACTCTGCGCTAAAAAACAAATCTCCTTAACTGATATTTTTTACCATTAGGTGAGTGACATGGGAAAGAATCTTAATTTTAAAATCCACTTAAATAGATTTTATTTATAATACAAATGTATTTTATACATTTATAATAAATATATATGCAATGTATATGACATATAACTAATACATTTATATAAAATATATTTCTAAAACTTAGAATATGAACATCCTATTAATATTTAATAAAAGCTGTTCGACTATTTAAATTAATATTTAATAATTTAAAATTTTATATAATCCCAGCCATAGGTCTGGGACATCAGAATGGGTCTTCATGCACCTGAGGACAGGCATTGTGTCCCATGGAGCCTTGCACGCACAGCTTCTGGTCTCTTGACACCTATGCTGGCCTCTGACGGGTGAGCTCCAAGGCAGTTCTAGATCAATGTTTTGACCTATTCTGTATGAACAGAATCAGATCCTGGGATGAACGCCTCACTCTAAGCTAAAGCTTATTTTATGTTTCTCCTAATGATATTATTTTATTAATCATTTACTGGTACATATGAAAGAAAGCTCCTCATATCAATGCATAGTTGAATCTCTGAGATCTAAGATTTCACCTAAACTTCCTTTCACGCTTCCCTGGTCTTTTTCCATATGCAAATATTTCATTTGGTGCAACTTTCTTTAACAAATTTTTCCATTAACATTTTCAGATTGAGTTTAGGTTGTGACATTTTATTTCATAATTACTGTAGCACATTTATCAAATGAGGAATTCTGCTCCCTACTTTATATTAAGAAGAGATACACATTAAAAAATTATCAATATTTCTTGCTATTTTAAAAATGCAAATGACAGTTACTAGTGTTTATCATTAGAGTACAAAACAGAATTCCATACTCCTCTAGTCTGAGAACTTACTCCACTCACAATTTTAATTATTTTTCTCTCCATTACAAACTTATTTTAATTTCCACATATTACTCAAAGTGCAATCTGTGAAAGTGAATTTTTATTCTCTAAACTATTTTAGAGCACCCCGATGGACTTTTAGAGTGTTATTCATGAATATACTTTCTAGAACTATAATAATAGCTAACATTTATGAGCAATTCCTATGTGCCAAGAACAGTGCTAAATGCTTGATCTAAATTATCTTATTTAATCTTCATTTCACAAATAAGGACCTGGAGCTTGGGAGTTTAAGTAACTGCCTAAGTTAATATGGCCACTTTGTAAGTGTCAGAGCCTGTGAGGATAAAAGCAACTTCTATAAGTACATATTACCAAGTGTTTAAAGACTCTAACAGCTAATGGTCTGAAGTATGCAATATTTCACACTGATTTATCCATTAAGGTAATTTTCATTGAACATAGAATTAATGTAAGAAACGTGTGCCTGGTCCCAGAAAAACTCAATATTATATACTCATATGTCAACTGATATCAAAGACCACATACCATGCATTTATTCCCTTAGGCAAGTGACTGAATTGGAAGTCACACATGTGAATAATGATTCTTACCGTAGACGACCTGATACCTGGTAGGCTTTTGTGTGTCCATTATGTTTCCCCACCTTCCCCCACATCTTTTGTCTGAACAGGGTCAGGAGACAGAATCATATACTTTGGGACAATTGTATTTAAAATCATTTTCTTGGAGGGGAATGGAGAAATTTAGCTAAATATATCCAGTCAGCAGAACAATTTGGGTTGTGTGTCTCACCCCAACTTTACTTTTAAGATATATCTAAGGAATAGGAATATATAGCTAACATTTATGAGCAATTCCTATGTGCCAAGAACAGTGCTAAATGCTTGATCTAAATTATCTTATTTAATCTTCATTTCACAAATAAGGACCTGGAGCTTGGGAGTTTAAGTAACTGCCTAAGTTAATATGGCCACTTTGTAAGTGTCAGAGCCTGTGAGGATAAAAGCAACTTCTATAAGTACATATTACCAAGTGTTTAAAGACTCTAACAGCTAATGGTCTGAAGTATGCAATATTTCACACTGATTTATCCATTAAGGTAATTTTCATTGAACATAGAATTAATGTAAGAAACGTGTGCCTGGTCCCAGAAAAACTCAATATTATATACTCATATGTCAACTGATATCAAAGACCACATACCATGCATTTATTCCCTTAGGCAAGTGACTGAATTGGAAGTCACACATGTGAATAATGATTCTTACCGTAGACGACCTGATACCTGGTAGGCTTTTGTGTGTCCATTATGTTTCCCCACCTTCCCCCACATCTTTTGTCTGAACAGGGTCAGAAGACAGAATCATATACTTTGGGACAATTGTATTTAAAATCATTTTCTTGGAGAGGAATGGAGAAATTTAGCTAAATATATCCAGTCAGCAGAACAATTTGGGTTGTGTGTCTCACCCCAACTTTACTTTTAAGATATATCTAAGGAATAGGAATATTTTCTCACTGCCATGCCAATTTTCCATTTTGAGTGTTTGGGTAGTTACGTGTAATTCTTTTTAAGAAACATTTTCTCAGGACAGTAATACCGAGTTCTAAACTCCTGATAAGTTTAAAACAAAGATTACTTGGGGTCTGCCCTTGTAACACAGAGGTATGAAATATAAAATGGATTCCATCTCAAAGTAGTCAAGAGAAAAGGAAATGCTTCAGAGAAACCGTATGAAGTGAGGCATGAAGAGAAGCTATTTCAGCCCTCTTGACTTGAGGGCAGGACACGTATGCATTCAAAATAAAAGATTTCTTCAGGCTTAAAGATTCTTAACAATAGGAGCTGATGATCAATGCAGGACAGAAGCATGCTCTAATGATTTTTTTTGGACAGGATCAACTTGACCTTTCATTTCTCATGAAGTCCTCCAGTAAATGCATCTGCTCTATTTTTCCCTGTCAGCATCCTTTTGATTCCCTGTCAGCATCCAACAATTATTTTGATTCTTGTAATTCAAATGGATTTCTGAAATGCTTTCATGAGGAATGCAAGGTGAGAAGGAACCATGTTGTTCAATGAGTGGCAGAAATATTCAAGGACTGCGAACAAAGTAATAAAAGAAAATTGATGTAATCATTTAAAAATCTAACTCCATCCCATGTTTCTGATCATTAAGCACGAGTACAGTGGCTGCCTATATGTGATTTTTTTTCTTATCAAATACAGCATGATTCCCTCAGCTATCTTCCAATACTTTTTGATACTTTACTGCAGCAAAAGTCCCTTATTGACATTTTCATACATTGTTCAAAGGATTATTTGATAGATTAGTAAAAATAACTTTGCTGTTCTTGATTAGCTAAATGCCTGACATGCACTCTTGTCAACAATATGTTATTAGAACATGTAATTGTGACTAGCAGGATGCATCAGAGGAGGCAAGCGTTAGTGTTACTTAATCTGCTTCGGGGTTCCTCAGTTTTGCGTCCAGAGAAGCAGTCAGTGAGTGGTGTCCAAGAACAAAAGTGACATGAGAAAAAAGGAGAAAAGACACATATAGAGGAAATGGGAGGAAACATTAGAGTACATTTAAAGAAAACAGTACGAAATTGAGTAGAGAGACTAGGAATAGTGAAGCTGTGGTCCAGAGAGTTTTTAACACCAATGCGAGCATCTCTCTGCATGGCGGGAATACAGATAATTACCGTGTAAACAGTTCGGTTTTTATAGAGGATGCAGGATTTCACGTACACTCATTAGCTGACTTTCTGAGGTCACAAAAACAGCTCAGCGGGCATTTCAGTTAATTGTTTTTAAAATGTAGATAGCAAAGTTGTTGAGGAAATGATGCAACCATTAAATGGAATTAAATGACTGAAAATACCGTAATTCAGAAGGTCTTAATTTGGATTAAAAAATCAATTAAAGACATGAGATTAAAAATATTTAGACATATACTCACCCAACAGACAGGAAAGGCTCCTTTGACTCAAGCCTATGAAAAAAATGTGAAAAATTTATTTTAACACTATCTTTGACCGTACACTTAAAAATTGCTTTTCTTTGAATCTGACAGATTATTATATTTGTTTGGATAAAACGCACAATTTAGCACCAGTAAAAAGCTATAAATAATGTATTTAAGACCTAACCTGGACTAACTCAAATTCTGGTTTTACTAATACAGAGACAAAATAAAAAGAGAGAGACTTAGAATGGGATTATAGCATTTCAATGATATATTAAGATAATAATATTGTTAGTCTAATTCTGATTCAGTCTTTATCTATTTTCTTTTTTACAGTAATTTATTTGCAGAAGTTTCAATATATCTACTTGTAGGTGCTATAATAGTAAAGAAATATATAATGTATTTGGTTACATATTCGCTGAATAATTTATTTCCAGCAACGAAGAGAGAAGCAGCATGACATACATGGTCATTTATTGGCAGTAACACTAATTGGGGTGGGGGAGTCAGGTTACAGATTAGGGTCTTCCTGTCTCTTTTGTGTCTCCTAACAATCAGTCATTTTTAGTACCTCCTGACATAGTAAGAGAGAATCCTAATTCTGAAGCCTCTGGCTAATTTTGGTATCTTGAACAAGCCACTAGAAATCTTTTTTTCTCATATAAGGCTAGGATTGCTTCCAGGCAATTTTCTTATTTCATGAATTATATATATATTTTTGCAAAAGGTAAATAAAACAGGATGTATTCACTTTTAAATATTTCCCAATTCAAAATTAAGGAGACTAATTGGTAGGTATATATTGTCTAGTTTATTTTCATGTAAGTTTTTTAACATGAGTGTGGGTTAAATGCGGGCAAATATTGAAGACTTTTTAATCTAAATCCTAGTGTTTTAGATAGTTATGAAGATTTCGTGTTTTAAAATATTTTATTTACATATAAATAATTGCAGGAAAATGGCAGGAAATTTAATTCTGCAACAAGCATTTGCTGAACACCAGCTGACCAATTTTACATATTGAAGTGGACAGTTGAAGCAACTGTCAGAATTAGGTAAAAAAACTGTAATTTTATATGAATCTAAACATTGAAGGCAGCAACCACTTTTTGTCTCTATTTCATTCTGTACATATGAAAAATAGCTTATTAGAAATATGCCTTGGACCACTGTGGACAGAGTTGGCAAAAGTACCCGCCACATGCCATGCTTTGGGTGCACATCATAGCAGGAAGGGTCTCTTTCAGGGAGCAGGGGCAGTCTTACAGTCTGGACAGCAGCAGGCAGGGAGGAAGCAGAGAAAACCAGTGGTTGTTGTTAAGGGTTTGGATGTGTAGATTTACACAACCATTCCGTTTTTTGAACTCCAATATTACTCATATCTCCATGTATAGTATTTGCCATAATGTGTCTCTGTTTTCTCCATACATTTATGGTATGGATAGGCAAAAAGAATTAGTGGGAACAAGTTGAAGATAATGAAATAGGTTTGGATATGCTTGTTTTATAAGACATGGCCAGTGCTAAGTGATCAAAAGAAATTTCTTAGAAGAAATGAAGATTCTGTGTAATGTGATACAGGAGAATGTTTACTTATTTGGACCATCAGCATCATGACAATATCACCTCTTTTCCCGCCTCTCTGGTTTCTCCAAATGTAAATCCATTGTTCAGACTTGCTCCAACCTTACACACTGGTCTCACACTAAGCTTCTTTCAAGGTCTCCCCCCTCCCCCAGCACTTGTTTAAGGACTGCATTGTACACTTTCTTGAAGGGTATCATAAACAACTCGAATAAAAGGAAGACCACCACTTCTGTCTTTCCCCATGCAATTACTGAAATGCTGGGTTCAGAATGTGTTTACATAGTAGTTATGCACTGATGAATTTCCTTTTTTTTTTTCCCCTGAAAGTTTCAGGCCAGCAGCTGTTGGTTTGGAGCTTTTAGAGACATATATATATATATATGGCTCCTGGTAGAGTGAAACACAACTAAGCCATATTTACTAAGGACCAGGAGTTATATATATATATATATGTTGGCCCACTGACACCAGTGGTTACTATGGTTAATGTCACTAGCTAGTTAGTTGTCGTCTTCTCGTACCACTTCACTCAACACTTCAACTATCTCCTTCCAACTCCATAGAAGAATTTAGAGCAGAATTAAAAGTTCTCAGAGTGAGATTGGATTGAGAGTTGTGACTAATGTTTTATAAGGCAGAGCTTTGCAAACTCTGGTCTATAGACCAAATCCTGCAGAATGCCTGATCTTGTATAACCCACAAGCTAAGAATGGTTCTTACACTTTTATGGTTGGAAAAACATCAAAAGAAGAATAACATTTGTGACACATGAGATGATATGAAATTCAAATTTCAATGTCCGTACATAAACTTTATTGGGATGCAGTCATGCTGATTTATTTACATATTGTTTGAGGCTGCTTCTGTGCTACAGCAGCAAATTGAGTAGCTGTAACAGAAACTGTATGTCCACAATCTTAATATATTTACTAGTCAGCCTTCACAGAAAAGGTATGCCAGTGAAATGTGATTATGTTGTCAGAAGGACTGGAAACAATTTCTCAAAATGGGCACTCTTTAATACATATCGAGGTAGTCTCCAGGACTTAAAGGCTTAGAATCATTTGAATTCCTTCTTCCTACCACCAGTTCAGTCTCTGCCTCTACTGACAAGATGAATTCCCCTACAATGATGTGTTATGTCACCACCTTTCTTGACAATTTCAAGAACCACAGGATCATGCCCGAACCTTTAGCTTGTCGTTGGAAGCTCTTCACAAGCATGCCTCATCCCAGCTTTCCATATTGTTCTCTATCACTTATCTTACTGACCGCTTTGTCTGCTAATTGCACAAGCAAAACTGCTTTGCTTTGTGTCTTTAAGAGTCCTATTTCTTGGCCAGAATACTGTTTTCCTTCATTTCCTATGCATGATATATTTATCTTCCATGTGATCTCAATCAATCCTTCATAAAGCCAATCCTGACACCTTTACCTTATAGGGAAAGTCCTGTCTCTGAGCTTCGTTACTCACTATCTCCATCACTGTGACATATTCTCAGGACAAGAGTCCTTCCTGGGCTGAAAGGCTAACTTAGAGGTTCACTAAGACTGGTAAGAATACTAAAGAATACCAAACTTGCATCTCTGCTTATACAAGAAGCTCCTAATCAATGTTAAGACTTCAAATGAGCCTAACTGGGAAGTGCCTGCTGATGCTCTATGAACTGAGCAAAAAAGGAGAGATTATTGTCCATTAGTGACTCTAAGTCCCTGAAGACCAGCCCTAGGTGCCAAGACTCTAAGCGTGTTCAGTGGTGATGTGGAGCAGGAACTCTTGATGGGGAGCCACCACCAGGACCTCCTACCTCATGTCTCATTCTCCAGTGATGACACAAAGCAGGGGAAAGTGAAGACTGGCCCCCTCTGAGTGATGCTCTGCTTTGTAACCAACTGCTCAGTCATGGCCCATTACATGGAGTCAGCTTCCCAAGCCTTGAGATGATTCAGAGATGCCTACATTTTTCTCATTAACTATATAGCAAACATCATAGGCAACTCAACGGCTACTGTGAAGAATGTGAGGTTATGTATTTAGAGCAATCAGTATGGCTCCTGGTAGAGTGAACCACAATGGCCATGACTGTGCCAAAGATAGGTTGTTAAATCTCAGGGCTGAAACTGCTTGAATATATGAAAAGCTCATTTTTGTAATTTCAGTCCTGAAAAATGTGCAAGAAGAGAAAACTATTAGGAGAAACATCCCTTTGGAAAAAATTGTGTATCAATTTAATCTTTAGAAACAGATGGTTACATTGAGATATGCTTAAAGAGAGCTTTTCTGGGTGTTTTTGTAAGGTAATTGTTTTGTAAGGCAATTGTTTTGCAAAGAAAAGGATTGATTTTACCTTTCCTAAGATTTACTTTTAACGTGAAATAGGTAGTGAATTTAATAATACTTCATTCAGGACCTGCTAGAATTAGGAGTAGAATAAGATAAACAAGCCATAGCCTTCAGAAAAATAGGCACAGTAAAGAAATAAAACAGAACACGAAATGAAGATCAATACTTGGGGCTTACAGGATTTGTAATACTTTATATTTACAACAACAAAAAACACAACTAAGCCATATTTACTAAGGACCAGGAGTTATTCAAACTGCTTTATAAACATTGCTTCATTAAAACATCATGATACCCTCTGAGATAGATCTCATTTTACAGATGAGGGAATCGATGCCCACAGATGCTAAGTATGGTGCCAAAGGTCGCATAGTTAAAAGGTGGTGAGCTAGGATTTGAATTTAGGCATTCTGGCTCCAAAGTTCATGTGCTGTGTCTTGAATTGTATGCAGCCTCTTATCAATTAATTTTGTTTAGTTGTTTTCTTTTGTTTATATGTACCATATGGCACTATCACAGTTCTGTGCTTTTTATTTTCCTCAGAAATTTTACCTGTTTTCAAGCGTTGTCAACATGCTGGATATCCCCAAACTTAGATCTCTAGTCTCTAGCGTCACTCCATTTATGATTCATGGTTATGTTTGTCCACCACACATCTCTGACTGTGCGTGCCTTTAACATGTCCCAAACTAAATTCATTGTCTTCTTCCTTCATTCTGCTCTTCTGTATCCCTAATTCAATGTTATAATCAACCATGCAGATAACCAAACTAGAAAGATTAGTATCTTTCTCATTACCTATTCTCCAATACACTCATTTTTAGTAGCGTCTCCTATTGCTGTTGTTTGTGTTACTAAACGTCCTCTTCCTTCTGTTCTTACCTCTCAGTTCTTATCACAGTTCAAAATGATCATCAACTTTTGTATGTGCTATTAAAATAATCTCAATAACCTTCTTTCTTCAGTATTTCTTTGGAATAGTCATACCTACTAGCAGAATTATCTTTCTGAGATACAAATATGGTCTTTAATTCCCCTCATTATGGGTGTGTGAGTGCTTCTAGGAAGTATTTCCTGATAAGGCACCAGAGAT